TTATGCTGTTCCTTTTTCTTTAACCTATAAATGGCTATAATGTTGCTTTTTTAAAAACATCCTCAAATGCAACTTGTGATACTAAATCGCTATCAGTGATAAAAGAAATATCAACATCTATCTCTGAAGCTGGCTTTACTACTTTGTTTTCATCATCAGCTAACCAAGATACATCATTAGTGCCATCATTCTTTAAGGTTAATGAGGCTGTCTGTGATGATTTTAGCAATGTCACTACTATCGGAGCATGTATTGATAAAGTCAGGGCCGTCCCGAAGAGGTCTTTCACGGAGGAGTTTTGTGTGTATTTTTTGCTAGAGACACCAAAAAAAAAAAAAATTTCTCAATATTTCCAATTTACCAACTATAGTTAAAAGCTTGCTCAATGTTGAGCAAGTTTTTAACTATAGTTGGTAATTGTACCTTTATTTTTGTCTGCAAAAAATGATGGAATAATCTATTGGAAAAAAGTTACTCTTGAGGATAGTTGATGTGATAAAACTGTTAACATCTAGAGGGCTTCCTTTAAAGGGTTCTGTAAAGAGGTTCGGTTCCAGTAAAAATGATAATTATCTTGAATGTTTAGAATTGGTTTCTCAGAATGATAAATTTTTTGCAAATCATATCAACAATATGGTAACAAAGGTAAAGGTAAATTCATGAAGTCTAAATCATTACTTTCTAAAAACTGAAAGAGTACATTGGCTAGATATGTGCCATGATGTTGCTGGATAGGAATGAATATCAAATATTTTTCCCAAACTTTGCTGCTTTCAAAAAATCTCCCTGTAATAGTTAAATGATCAATTGATCAGTGTGATCAATATCAGGGATATCTAGTAATATAGACAAATATTTTGCTTTCTTTAACTTGGAAATAATTATGCTCAACTGCAACATGCTCAACACTGATTTCTCTATAGTTTCAATAAGTTCTTCACCAATATTTTTTTCCAAGTATGAAAATAAGTTCTTCACAAATATTTTTTTCCAAGTATGAAAATAAGTTCTTCACAAATATTTTTTTCCAAGTATGAAAATAAGTTCTTCACAAACATTTTTTTCCATGTATGAAAAAAAGTTTTTCACAAATATTTTTTTCCAAATATGAAAATAAGTTCTTCACAAATATTTTTTTCCATGTATGAAAATAAGTTCTTCACAAATATTTTTTTCCAAGTATGAAATAGCCAAAATGCTTATACTGGATTTAGATTATTTATTATTAAATAAACTGAATAATTTGACAGTTCAGGAAATTTTGACAGCTGCTAATAACTTGCAAGTTGTATACAAAGATCATATTAATATGGATTTTGCAAACGAATAATTACGTTTTAATTTATTTTTGATAATGTGTCAGACTTTGTGAAAGATGTGTCAATTGAATTACAGACGTTTGAATTTGTTAAAAAGTTGAATTTATAATCAGTTTTTCACTTTTTGGAAACTGCCCTCCAAATATATTTATCGATGATTGTTTCAAACTGTTCAGGTGAAAAAAGCTTTTCTGTGCTTAAAAGAGTAAAAAGTTAAGAATTTCGATGCAGCAAGAGAGACTGGAAAATTTAGCAGTTTTTGCTATTCAAAACAATGTATTTGATGGGTTGGATGTAGCAAGCATCATTGATGAGTTTGCACATTCAAAAGAAAGAAAAAAATAATTTCTTAATTATTCAAAATTGTGTTTTCTTGTACCTGCTGTTTGCCAATTTCAGAATTTTTTAATTATTCAAAATTGTGTTTTTGTTCTTGGCAATATGTTTTTGATTTTAACTTTTAATTTTTTTAATGTAGATCAGTTAGTACTAGGGATCTCAGATCCGCTTTATTTTGGACATCAGTTCCTTATTTTTTTTCTTATTATATATATCAAAAGTTTTAGAAACATCAAGAGCGATAGCCTTAACCTCTCTACATCTATCTGATGCAAGATAAAACCTATGTGTTATTACTGTTAGCAAATTAGCTGTAGAAAGAGAAGATTAAAATCCATATTGTTGATCAGAGGGTAAGATATTAGATTCAAGATGAGAGATTAAATGTTTGTTAATAAAAGACTCAAAAATCTTGCTTATGATAGAAACTTTTGAAAAAAGGAATAACAGATGCCGCTTTCCAGCAGTCTGGTAAACAAGACTCTGATAGGCACTTATTAAATATTTTTTAAAGTATAGAAGGCAGCTCTAGAGTACACTTCTGCAAGACTGTAATAGGTATGTTTTCCGGACCACAAACTGTAGAACCACTTTTAAACTGTTTAACCAGGAAATCACGCAAACTGTTTAACCAGGAAATCACTTTAGATACACAACCTGGAGTGATTTGAATGTCAAGCAATGGATTAGCTTGTTTATTGGCTATATAAAGTAGAAGGCAACAAGTGGAATCATAAATTGATATTGATGAAAAGTTCTAAGCAAAGAATTCAGCTTTCTCTTTAGTAATCTAAACCATACAAGAGAGGTGGAACAGCGGATTTGCTCTTTTTATAGATCCTGTTAAAGATTCTCCAGAGGTCACGAGAGCCTAATTTTTGAGATGAAATACGATATTTCGTGGCCTGAGAATAGCGGGTTTTGACTCGCTATTTTCAATATTTTTGGTCCGCTATATCTCAGTATTTGGTATAACCAAAAAGTTGTAGTTTTAAATAATTTATTTCTTTAATAAATTATTAAAGGAAATTATTTAAAACTATAACATAGCCATTCGGCCTTGTCACAGAGAACTGCTGTTGAAGAAATTAGAAGGTTGCTTAAAACCAAGTTAAAAAAGTTGGTGCAATAAGGCTTTCTTACCAAACTCAGCTTTTTATTTGTTGAGTTTGGTCAGAAAAAACTATTTTTTTAAAAAATTTGTTGCAAACCGTAGAAGTAGGATCAGCGCAGGATGTAATTGACGTACCTAGAGTAAACTCTTATAAAAGTATTTTTATGATGCTACTTTGGCTGCAGCTATCAATCGTCAGCACATGAAAGCCTGGTGTTGCTTTCCTTTATCAATATTAAAATTCTATGAATAAGTTTCATAGGTTTTTTTAATAGATAAATAAAAATTTAGGATATTTTTTTGTTTTTTGTTGCAATCCCACTTGCAGAAAATCTTACTTTACAAGCTTTTTGGCACTAGCTTTTTCAGCTCAGGGTGCCGCTATAAAATAATTGCAAAACGACTACAGGAAATTATTGCTGCTCTAAAGCCGTTGCTTTAGCTTTCAGCCAAAGTATTGCCCCATGATGAGCAGATGACTTTACGGTGAAATCAAATTTTTTGCAAAGCGAATATTGATAGCATAATCGCAATGAACCTGGGTATGCATTTTTTCCTTGTATTTCCTAAACATAAGCTTGAATTAAATATCTATTAACGTAGCGTTTTGTCATTTCATTCAACAAATTCAATTTAAAATTAGGATTGTAAAAACAGTTTTGTTAAGATTCTCGTTCATCTGGTTAAAAGATCAAGAACCGGTAAAAAGTAAAGCTTGAACTATAAGTCAACTTTATGAAAGTCTTAATAGTTTGAAGTATTCTTCATTTTTCACGCCAGTACCTGTCACAAAAAGTGAGTAACCTCTAAGTAAACTATAATTAACCTAAAAAAAATGATTGTCTGGCCACTATAAAACTAGAGATTTAAAAACGTTTATTGGACATACATTTTGAAAATGAATTGGATACAACTCTGTCGTAAAATGACATATTAGTAATAACAATTTTTGCTAGTAAAAAAACAGAGTGTTTTTAATATTAATTTCAAAGAATCTGTTTATTAATCCTAATCAGTGAATATGTTAGAATAGTGTATTTAATCCAGATTTTCTCGAAAATATGGATTTAAATTAACAGTATTAGAAATAGAAACATTAACTTGTATGATGGTACATGCTTTAAACGTTAATGGCTAAAGGGCTATTTATTAGGGATTTTTTGTTCTCAGGCAGAGGCGGTTCACGAATTAAATGAGGGGGAGGGGTAAATCCTCAAAAAGTACCGACTGGCTTCTAAAAAAAAAACTCCTTAAAACGAAAACTTAACCGACTGAATTGTGACAAATATCCGACTAGTCCACTAAATTCGTAAAAAAAACCAACTATAACTTGAAAATCACCTTATTCGGGGGTGGGGTGTAACCCCCCCCCCCCCACACACACCCTAAAAATCGCCTCTGTTCCCAGGTATATATATATATATATATATATATATATATATATATATATATATATATATATATATATATATATATATATATATATATATATATATATATATATATATATATATACATATATACCCGACGGGCATTTGTTTTTAAAAGTTACGTTTTAAATGTGTTTTAAACGTCTTTTAAACGTCTTTTAAACATTAATGTTTAAAAGACGTTTAAAAGACATTTAAAAGACATTTAGATCGTAACTTTTAAAAACAAATGCCCGTCGGGTATATATATATATATATAAAATTTATAAACTAGATTTATTAGATTTAGTATAATTCATTTTAATACCAATTAAAGTGAATTCTACTAATGTCAAAGACATGAATTTTAAATAAGAAAGCTATTTAATACACATTGTTAAGAAAAAACAAAGCAATACTGAGAGTAAACATCATTTATTATAAACTTGAAATTTCTAAAATAAAATAAAATAAAGATAAAATAAGATCTGAAAAAAAAAATCTCCAAAAAAGATATCTTAAAAGTTTTATTTCAAATGGTATAGTAAAGTTTCCTCTAGTTCTTGTAATATACTTGTTAGGATTGATTTTTAAAAGTGTGTTGTAAAATGTTCTAACACCAAACGTAGTTTATATTTAAACATGAACAATATATTTTGGTAAGTATTTATTTTTAAGATGTTTAGTGTCTTCATTCGTTTGAGTTTTTAATTTACAATATTTAAACTTTGAACTTTTTTAAGAGTATATTTAAAACTCTTATTTAGTAATGAAATTTTTTAAATTTACACAATTAAGGAAAAAAAAGGAGGAGGAAGGTATTGATAAAAAAATATATTCTAAAAAAATATATATTATATATAATCGGCAGGCTTTTGATTTAAAAAAACTCAAGACAGAAGTAGAGCGACGATATAAATTTGTAGATTTTTTTAGAATTACGCATTTGACTCCTGAACAGCGCCGTTAAATATTTATTCTTGTAAAATGGTTTGATATTCTAAAACACTAGAAAAAGTTTGCCTCAATTTTTGATGAAACTTTGCAACGACCGTTACTCTTTCAGAACCACTTGTTATAACCACATCTCCCTCCCACGTCGAATCTTTATTTAGACCAATTGGAATCCAGCTAGAGTTTGCTCCACCTATTAGAAACATACATTTCAATAATTTAAATTTTTTTTACCAAAAAACTTTTATAGGTTATATAAAAGTAATGTAAAACCTAAGGATTACGCGCATATATTTTTTAACTTAAGTCATTGCATAGGTGAAAGTTAATATAAAGTTATTTAAAATATAAAGGATCGTACAATGAATAATAGAATCGTACAATGAATAATAGAATCGTAAAAAAGAAAACAATTGTTAAAAGCTAGATCATGCACGATAAAAAAAAAAAAAAAACTCCAAACATATATAACAACTTTTATTTCAAAATTTATGCTTTGATGAAAAATTAATCTTCATCAAGTTTATTTCTAATGAAAGACCAAGACTTCTTGTAATAAGCATTTTACTAACGGCTAATTAATTTTATACAATATCTCTAATTAGATTCTTTTATAATAAAATGAAAGTTCATTTTACGTTTTTTGGACAAATGTTATTGCGTCTTACAAAGTAGCATGCAAACGAAAATGATGTTTAATTTTCTTGACATAACTATTATTAGTAACAAAAAAGTACGTTATATTTTAAAGTACATTGCAATGAAACAATAAGAAACTTCTAAATTAAGCCTAACACGTTTCAAGATCCTAAAATTTATAAGTTCTTTAAAATTTAATAGTATCTTTATATGGATATAAGAAAAAAGAAAATTTTAAAAACGTTATGAAAATTATTAAAAGAAATCATAAGCATATACAAACTTAGATTTGACTGCGTTACTCTCTATTTTGCATCTTTAGTGTGGATTTAAGGATTGGTCCAAAGTTATTCTCTATTTTGCATCTTTACTGTGGATTTAAGGATTAGTCTAAAGGTTTCAAAAAAGCAGGGTTACTTACTAGTCTTTATTTCACCAAATAAATTTCAACATGACTACAAAAAATAAACCTTGTCTTCCTATAAATTCTTATCCAGGAAATATAAATATATCCAGGAGTGTATAAACTGGAAACTTTCTGCAAGAAATGTTAAACTGAAGAAAAAAACAGCAACAAGATCTCTTCTCGCATTTATCAACATAAAAAAAATACAGATAAAGCAAATGAGAAAATTCGGCTAAAGAACCATAAAAAAATTGTCACGCTTTTTCTTAATCACTTATTTTGAAAGTGAAAGGGAATAATATCCACCGGAAAGTGAGAGACTTCGCGTTTTTCAAATGAGACAATTAAAAAAAGAAAAAGGGTGTAAATGTCATTTATTTTATTGTGCATAATTGATAAAATGGGACCGATTGATATTAAGTTTAAAACGCATTTTTACTATTATTATTTTTTATTTCAATTTATAAACATTACTACTAGAATGCTATAGACACTGTAAATGCAAAAATGTAGATCATTTGTATTAAAAAATAAAATGTTACATCTGTTACGTTATGACTAATCATAACTTGTTTGTTATTTGTTCGCTATAAAAGACTTATTAAATTTGCCGTGATTAAAAAAAGTTAAAACTTAAATCAAATAATTTTAAGTATTAATAAAAATAAGATAAATTTTATTTCAATTAACGGAAATCATTAAATTATTTTTTATCAAAGTGAAACAAACTAATGTAAAACTTTCCACATTTTGATAAATTTTAAATAAAAATAAAATATATTAGGGTTACCAACAGAGAACTGATTAAAAAAAAATGATTTTAGGAACACAGCATTATTGTAAACACAATAAGTTGATTTAGAAACACAACATTGTTGTAAACATAATAAGTTGATTTTAGAAACACAGCATTGATGTAAACACAATAAGTTGATTTTAGAAACACAAGGCTTTTTTTAAACAATTTGAACTCCTAAAAAACCATATTACAATAATTATACCTCAACCCTGCTTTTTAAAGCTCATTGTTTTTATCCTCTTCTCTCTCATCCCTGCTCTTCTCTCTCATCCCTGCTCTTCTCTCTCATCCCTGCTCTTCTCTCTCATCCCTGCTCTTCTCTCTCATCCCTGCTCTTCTCTCTCATCCCTGCTCTTCTCTCTCATCCCTGCTTTTAAATGATCATTGTTTTCATCTCTCATCCTCGCTTTTTAAATCACAAACCTTGTAATTTTTTAAATAATTTTAACTTCTAAACACCATACTCAATTAAAAAATTAGTTTGCACAGTAAAATCCATGTACAATATACTACAACAGTGATACATATCCCTCTCTCATATTGAATGAACACTTTACTGTCTCATACAGAATGAGTGCTCTACTGTCCCATACAGAATGAGCGCTCTACTATCTCATATTGAGTAAGCGTTCTACCGCTGCACTATTCTACTTAACGTTACTTTAATATTTAACGCAAATTTTCAGCGGCACGGGTTTCAAAGTGGACGAGCACAATCATAAATTTTTTTAAAAAGTTCTCTTTATCTATAAATTTCTAAAAAAAAAAAACTTTTATGAAAAAAAAAAAAGAGGAGGGAGCCTGACACCCCCCCCCCCCCACCCCGTGTCCTGTAAATAAATTATTTAAAATAAAACTGCAAAAAATACACTTGCTTAATAAAGTTAAAAAAAACAACAAGACATACCAAGACAAACAACCATCTCAACGGCTCCTGGTAAAGCAATTTTAAATTTATACTTTTCTCCTATAATTAAATGCCCTTGCAAAGGGCTATATAAAACATATCCTTGTTGAAATTGTTTGTACTGCTTTGGAAAAACAGAAAACTTTAAATTTTGCTTAAGTTTAACAATGTAACCACACAGAAGTGATGTTACATTCTTTGAAGTTTTTTCAAACAACTTTAAAAGAAATTCCCCTTGGTGAGGAATTATAATAAATATATGAAGCAGTTTTTCTGTTGTATACAAACGCATTCCTTCATTCACTACCTCATTATTTGCCATGTCATATAAAATAGTAAAATATTCTACATTTGATTTTGTTATCTTGAATTTTAAATGTAATTTTTCTGTCTCTTTACATTCAATTAAACCAAGTGAATGAGTTAATGGTTTCATTTGACTTAAAAAAAAATTCCTGGAATAAAACGGTAAGTTTTTAAAAGCATTATTTGACATAGGTTCATCAAGTAGTTGCCAGAAAGTATCTTTAGGATAATGATCATATATAAACTCTTCAGGATCACAAAGGAAATAATGTTCATTGTAATCTCTAATAAAATCCATGTCTGCATCCAAATATCCTGAAGCCCACACAACATCAAGTAACCACCATGTCTGATCTAAATAAACAGCATTCCATGAATGATAGATTTCATTGTTAATGGAGTCAACTAAAGTATTGTTAAGTTTTACCCATCCTGAAACAATTTCCATCTTTAAACCTAACTCTCTAAATAACCAATAATTTTTCATAATAACTATATTATAACAATCACATTATAATAACTGTAGGGGAGAGGGGGAGAAGTGGGACACGGGAGAAGTAGGACAGCCTGAAATTTCTAATTAGGAGTGGTGCCTAAATACTGTTTAGAAAAAATTTAATGTAAACAATTTTATTTCTTCCCCTCTATTTAGCAGAAATTGCTTTGCTTCCCTGCGTGCACTAGAAGCCCTAATTTTGAAATATACCTTAAAAAAGTGTTTATGTTGGGGTGAAGTTGGACAGAAAAAAGAAATATTTATCCCTCGCTTCTTTCCGTTGCCATTTGATTATTTTGGTTGGTGAAAGCTCTTGAACATTTTTATGATTTGTGATTATTTTGATTGGTGAAAGCTCTTGAACATTTTTATGATTTGTGATTATTTTGATTGGTGAAAGCTCTTGAACATTTTTATGATTTGTGATTATTTTGATTGGTGAAAGCTCTTGAACATTTTTATGATTTGTGATTCTATGATTTTATCAGCTTCTATTTAAAAATTTGTGTTAAAATGTTGTTTTAAATTTATTTGTCCCACTTCTACTCACACCTGTCCCACTTTACCTCGATGCCACAGTTTCCCTAAAAGCAAAAATTTATATACTTAGTTATAATTGGCTGGAAACTTAAGAGGATTGAATCGGTGCCTAAAATAACAGTTTATTTGTAAAAACTTGTTTGATTTAGTTTATACACCAAATAAAAAAGATACTGCAATTACCCTAAAAAAAAATTTACGTGTTCCACTTCTCCCCACTCTCCCCTATATCTATAATAAAACATATTAAAATCATATTATGATATCTATAATAAAACATATTAAAATCATATTATGATATCTATAATAAAACATATTAAAATCATATTATGATATCTATAATAAAACATATTAAAATCATATTATGATATCTATAATAAAACATTATAAAATCATATTATGATATCTATAATAAAACATATTAAAATCATATTAAATATATAATTATAAGGAATGTAAGAATGATACAATAATAACTATATTTTAAAAACTATATTGAACTATGTTAACTAAAATAATAATATAATCTAAAACAATAAAAAATTTAAAAAATTTAAAATAATAAGATTTAAAGATAAAATAAAAATTAAATTCAACTTAATACCAAATAATTGTTTACTTTGTACATTCACTTAAAAAAACAGCAAAAGTATGAAGATTTTTATTTTTAAGACATTGATCTTTAGGCAGAGGCACGTTATCTGTTTCCAAAATACAACCACCTGCAATAACTTCAAAGTTATTGGTGACCCATCTCCATACAACACGTAATTGTAGAACTACAGATTCAACAAATGGTTCGATTAAGTAATTCACAAATTGTTCTTTTGATTGATAAAAACTAATTGGAACCTAAAAAAAAAAAATTAAATTAAAAACTTTTTTTTTAATTGAAATTTTTTTTCATTTCATTGTGTATTGAACTGAAAAAAAAAGAATGGATGATAACCATATATTTAGCGAAGACTAGGGTTAACACAATCAAAACATGCCACACAAAAAATTTAGAGACACGTTAGGTTACACAAATAAGTTTAGTAAACTTCATCAAAAAGTTTACAAACTCTTTCTGAACTTGCTGTAATAAACTTGTTTTTTTTGTGCCTTTTTATATTTTAAGTGTCAACCTCAAGAAAAAAAAACGACTGAGGAACATATTTAATCACAATCTTACTATCTTCTTTTTCTAAAATGGTTAAGAATATAATGTGCTAGACATTGAAATCTTATATTTGACAAAAAATAATAAGTTATATAGTAAACAGTTTGTATTAATAAAAAAAATTAAACTGAACACGAAATAAAAAAGTTTAAAGTTTCCTTTGATAAAACTTTGATCCAATAATAAGCCAAACAGAAAGCTTTACGTTTATTTTACAACAGTAAAAAAAATATAAAGCCAAACAGAAAGATTTAGGTTTATTTTACAACAGTAAAAAAATATTAAGCCAAACAGAAAGCTTTACGCTTATTTTACAACAGTAAAAATAATAAGCCAAACAGAAAGCTTTACGTTTATTTTACAACAGTAAAAAAATAATAAGCCAAACAAAAAACTTTATGTTAATTTTACAACAGTAAAAAAATAGTAGAACCAGTCAAGACAATGGGCACCTTATGTAATTATAATGACTTTCTGTCCTGGGAAACAGAATTTACAAATATGTATAAAATAAAAGTGGGAAAAGAAGCAAAAAAGGTAAATAAACTTTTTGTTTATTATAAGATTCGAGTAGAAAAAAGTTGAACAAATATATCTTGAAAAATGGTGATATTTTATTAAAACAACAGCTTTTTAGCATAAATTTTGTACACAGCCAGTTCTGAAAATTCTTACTGCTTTATGATGATGAAATAGTAACCAAAAAAGAACAAATGATATTGTGCAACTAGTTATTAAAACATTTTTGAAGCTTCAATTAAAAAGCTGTATTCTGAAGTCAAAAAGCTACATTCTGCAGTCAAAAAGCTGCATTCTCCAGTCAAAAAGCTACATTATGCAGTCAAAAAGCTACATTATGCAGTCAAAAAGCTACATTCTGCAGTCAAAAAGCTGCATTTTGCAGTCAAAAAGCTGTATTCTGCAGTCAAAAAGCTTCATTCTGCAGTTAAAAAGCTGTATTCTGCAGTCAAAAAGCTTCATTCTGCAGTTAAAAAGCTGTATTCTGCAGTCAAAAAGCTGTATTCTGCAGTCAAAAAGCTGCATTCTGTAGTCAAAAAGCTACATTGTGCAGTCAAAAAGCTGTATTCTGCAGTCAAAAAGCTGCATTCTGGCAACTGTAGTTTGCAGAATAAAAATCAAACATTTTTTTGTTGGGATTGGTTTGTGACATATATAGTTAAAAGATAGAACAAAGTGTAATTGATTAATTAATATTAAAAAGATTAATAATTAAAACTTAATAAAAAAAGATTGTCTGCCATTATGCTTTGTTGTATTTAAAATGTGAAAAGAAAAAAATTAAAACTACTTTGAGTTAATATTTTGACATATTTTAATAGTTGTAAACAAAATTTTGTACAATTTATATAAAATTTAAAAACATTTGTTGATGGTTATTGATTTTTTGTAAATATACTATAATATATTTTTTGTTAATTACTAAATGTAAATATTTTCATAAACAAGACAAATTTTCTAATTTTCAAAACAGAGTGAAACAATATAAAGTGTAAAGGCCAGAATAGGTCTTCACACTAATTTTTATAGTTTCACTCCATATTCGTACAGAGTTATCTTATTTTTTATGCCGTTTTCGGAAAAAGTATGTGATTCAACTAAAAAAAGACTGAATTCAATTGCTAAAAGATATTACAGTTTAGCAAATATTAAATTAGTATTTATCTTACTGAAGATTTCTAAATTCTTTTCTTCTAAAGATCCTATCTTTAGAATAAAAGAATTTCGATCAAATCTATCTCAAATTGTTTGTTCAATTCGTATGTGCAGGATGTAACTCCTGTTATATAGACGAAACTACTCGCCATCTCAAGACCCGGATATGTGAACATTACAAGAAGAAACAAAAAGTCTCACATCTATAAACATCTCCATGCTAATGAAAATTGTTTCATGCAAATAAATGATAAGTGTTTTTCTGTGTTAGATTTGGTATCTAACAAATTTTAGATAAAACTTAAAGAAAGTATGTTTATAGAATGGTTAAAACCTGGTATGAACAAACAGGTTAACCATGTACAAATGACACTTTCAGTTTAGCTGTTATTTTTTATAAATATTGCGTATCTTTTTAACCTATTCTTTTGTTACTTCCAATATTTTTTGTATGACATGATAAACTTTTAAACTAATTTTATTGTATTTTTGTAATTATATTATTATTAATTTGTACAAAAATAATTATATTTTGTATTGTTTGTTTTTAAACACCTTTATAGGTATTTTAACAAATTTTAAATATTTTTAATTTTAACTGAAGATGACTAGTGTTGGTCGAAGCATGTATTGTTTTTTATTAAAAAAAAATGATTTTAAAAATTAGAAAATTTGTCTTATTTATGAAAATATTTATATTTTTAGTGCTTAAAATAAATTTTGGTTATATTACTAAATGTACTTTAGTGTTGTTGTTTTTTTTGCTCTATATTTTGTATCCATATTTTTTGGTCTATACTATATTTTTATATTATATTAATAAAAGCTGTTATTCTTGATAGACAAATTAAACATGGTACTTTTCAAAATAAGTTTTTAAGGCTATGTAACAATAGGAAGATCTAATTGCTACAAGCAATGACTGTAATATGAAAGTTTAAGATATAGTTAATTATTCCAGAGTGTAAGTCAAAAACCTCAATAGATATTCTCATAAATAGAGTGAAGTAAAATCACAAGCTTGTTTTCCATGGAGACAAAAAGTGGTGTCGTTAAAGTGCGTTACATGAAACAGTGTTATAAGTGTTATATGAACTTCATTTGGAAATAAGTAAAATAAAAACTTTATCAAAGAAATCAGAAACTATTAACTTCACATACTTGGGAATATCTAAGCAGGTTACATATTGATCAGGCTGGCCCAATAAACTGAAAAAAAATTTTGGTATTACGGTTTCTCAAAATGGATTGAAGTAGTAGCTGTGAGCAATACTCAAAATAACAATTGGAATATTCAGAAGATTGCTTTTGACCCATGATACACCTAATGTTGTACCTTATGATATACCTCATGATATACCTCATGATACAGCTCATGATACACCTCATGATACACCTCATGTTGTACCTCATGATATACCTCATGATATACCTCATGATATACCTCATGATATACCCTGTGATATACCTCATGTTGTACCTCATGATATATCTCATGATATACCTCATGATATACTTCATATTATTGTTAGTGACAATCTAACTAAGTTCTCTGCAAGACAATGACAAAGAATAATAAAAAAAAAGCTAATATGTGTTTTGTAATAAAAAAAATTTTTTAATAGGAGACACAGTTTATGTCAGGAATTATAATGGAACTTGAAAGTTAAACTCAGCTATTATAATATTATATATACAAGCAGCTGGAAATATTATTTTTACAAAAAAGAAGTTAGCAAAACTTTGGTTGAAATATCAAACAGCACAAATATTTCGTTGTCAAGCAATGTAGAATAAATAACTGAAATGGCTAAAAAATATTTAAAGGAACTTTTATATTGTATTTTTACTACTTTTTTTTTTTTAAAAACATCTTCGCTTCCAACAAGGCTGCAAGCAACCACTAATTAGTGTTGGAAGTTACTAGAAGAGAAAAGATGAAGATTGTGGAGCAAGATAACGATTGACAGACGACTTAAAAGATTGCAAATTATATGAATCAGGATAGCAAGAAGAAGGAAACGAATTCCAAATAACTGATGTTCGAGGAAAAAAGCTAGACGAATAAGAGTTTTTGCAGCACTTAGGAACAGTAACAGAAAAAGGATAAGACTTAATTGAATGACGAGTAACACGAGAATGAATTTTAATAGATGGCACAAGAGATGCTAGCTCTTTAGAGCAGTGCCCATTATAGTATTTGTAGAAAAGAGAAAGATAAGCAACATTACGACGATGTGACAGAGGTTGAAGGTTGGCTGCAAGAGCAGGTCCAACTATGTTTACAATGCATTTTTGTACCTTGTCTAAAAGAGAAAGGGCATCATTAAAAGACCCGCCCCAGATATGGCAACAGTATTCCATACAAGGCCAGATTTGAGATTTATAGAGATGGAGAATAGAATACAGAGTAAGAAAGTGTCGAGCTCGATAAAGAGATGCAACTTTAGCAGATGCTAATTTTGCAATGGATTTGATATAAGGTTTCCAAGAAAGATCAGAAGTAAGAGTTAATCCTAGAAGATGAAGGGTATATGACTCATCAAGTACATTACCGTTCATAAATATAGGAAGGTCTAAATTATTGCGATAACGATTGGTCGAAAAAAAATGAGTTTTATCTGAATTAAAGTTCACCAGCCACTGTGAACCCCAGAAGTGAGATCCTTTTCAAGCTCAAATGCCCCCTGCAAGCAATCAGAGGGAGTTGGCTTCTTATCGTGACAAGAATAAATGGTATTATCATCAGCAAACAATGCCACCTTAGATGTGAGAATATCTGGAAGATCGTTAATGTAAATTAAAAAGAGTATAGGGCTAAGGATTGAACCTTGAGGAACCCCTGAAGTTACAGAATAAGAAGAAGAATGCTGCCCATCAAGGATAACTTTTATACTACAATTGGAAAGAAAGGATTCAATAATCTTAGAGATGTTTCTAGATACACCATAAGATGAAAACTTATGGAGAGGACCAGCATGCCAAACTTTATCAAACGCTTTAGAAATGTTAAGAGCGATGGCCTTAACATCTCCACCTTTATCAAATGTGCGATAAAACCTTTCGGTAATTACTGTTAGAAAATTAGCCGTAGAATGAGAAGATCAAAATCCATATTGATGATCAGAAAGTAAGTTAGATTTAGATGAGAGTGTTTGTTAATTAAAAAGTCAAAAACCTTGCTATTGATAGGAAGAAGACTAATGGGACGGTAGTTTGACGAATCGGATCGCTCTCCAGAATTTTTAAAATTAGAATAACAGATGCTGCTTTCCAGCAGGCTGGAAAACAAGACTCTGATAAGCACTTGTTGAATAGTTTGAAAAGATAGACAACAGCTCTGGAGAACACTTCTGCAAGATTATAACAGGTATGTTGTCCGGGCCACAAGCTGTAGAAGAGTCTAAGCAGGAAATCACTTTAGATACAGAAGCTGGAGTGATATGAATGTCAAGCAATGGATCAACCTGTTTGACGACTATATCAGGTAGAACGCAACTAGTGGAGTCAAGAGATGATATTGATGAAAAGTTCTTAGCAAACAATTCAGCCTTGTCTTTAGGTGAGGTGACAAAGTCTGAACCATACAAAAGAGGTGGAATTACAGACTTGCCCTTATTATTGATATTATTAAAGATTCTCCAGAAGTCCTAATTTTTGTGATGAACTACGTGATTTCATGATCTGAGAATAGAGGGATTGGCATTAGACAAAACCTTTTTACAATGGTTTCTAGCAGTAATAAACAGACGTCTGTTTTCTGGAGAATTGTTTTGCTGATAGATATGGAAGTAATGGTTTCGATTGGCAATTGCAGCAGCACAATGCAAGGAAAACCATGGAGAAGAGTGAGGCTTGACCTGGAATCATCGAGAGGGAATAAAGGATTCCATGCCAGCCTGAATCCACGAAGTTATGTAAGAAGCACATTTGTCAATAGAAAGACGAAAGATTTCTACCCAGGGGCCATCACGAAAAAAATCACGGAAAGAGTCCCAGTCAGTTTTAAGGTAGTTGTAAGATGTACGATGATAGGGGGATTCTGATGATAAAGAAGAATGAGATAAAAGTTTTAGAGACCAAACCATGATTGGATGCACCTAAGGGTGAGTGAGGAGAAACTGAGCACTGACTAGGATCAGAAACAAGACATAAGTCGAGTAGAGAAGGTAAATGATTCGGGTTATCTGGAAAGCGAGTTAGAAAGTTTACTATTTGAGTTAGGGATTGAGAAAGACAAAAGTTGTGGGCCTTAATGCCTGCAGAGTCACTGACACTATAGCCAAGCCATTCAGTGTGATGAACATTAAAGTCACTGACAGCAACAATATTGGCTGATGGATAAAGAGAGAGGGTTTGGTCAATATGATCAGAAATAACATCAAGAAAAGTGTAGTTTTGAGATGAGGGAGAGCGATATAGAATAAAGAGAAAGGTGATAGAGTGAAGTGGTGCTAAACGAAAGCACATAAAAGAGTAGTATGTGGATTCAAACCTAGTTTCTCGACAAATGGGTACAGTACTAGGCACTTACAAATGTAAATGCCTAGGCCAAGCATGTGACTATTGGAGTCGTTATGAATTAAAGGAAGATAACCATCAACACTAAAATCACAAGATGAGACAGCTGAACTCAAATTAATCTCACAAAGAGCAAATAGGTCTGGTGAACTTTGCAAGAGATAAGACTCAAGAGAAGAAAAGTTACTTTGAAGACCACGAATACTAGTGAATGATAGGTTTAGCAAACTTAGTGATGACTGTGGTTTTTTTTGTTTTATAGTTTTTGTTTAATAGCCCAAGCAAGTGCCTCATAACTATTAATAAACCCTAAGCCGTAACAAAGGGCTCTAATGTGGTCTCGGCAATGCACACCAAAAGTACAAACAGGGACACAATCTATGCGCAACATGGCACTGTTGGTACTTTGATATTTTTCAGCTGTTGATGGAATCAACCTCTCTGAGAGCAACCACAGAGTTTGGGAAATCTGACTACCAGCTGGCCTCAGAACCATAAAACTGAGTTTTAGAGCTGTATCCTCATTAGGAGATAATAGAATGAGTTGCCTAGTCATAAAAACAGAGACACAAGCAAAACCCATGCATCGGGTCAAGAAGATCTAGCATTCAACATCCTAAACTGGAAATAATGTATTAAAAATACATCTGGGCCAGCTTAATAGATAAAGAAGGGGTGCGAGGCAACAGATAGAATCAGTTTACCCCTTAAGTCTTTGCCTAGGAGGCCTTCTACAAGACAGCAGCCGGATGCATTTAACATCTGCCCAAGACTTAAAAATAATTTTATCAGAAAAAAAATTCTGATACACCTGTAAATGAAAAGATTGAAAACAAAAATTTTTGTACAATTTAGCATACAACAGCCAAATAAAATAGCAAAAAATAATTAGTAACAAAATAATAATATAAAAATTATTAAAATAAATCATATGAGAAAAAAACTAATTATATTTTTATTAAATATTATTTTTGTGTCTTTACATTCATTCTGGAAAAAATTAAGTAATTTTCAGAAGAATATATTTTAAATCAAATGATGGCCCCTTTATTTTTCAATTTATAATCATTTATTTTCCTGCAAACTATATATAACAATTATCAAAAAATACTAAAAACTTAATTCAATACTAATGTGAAAAATGTATTTTTTACTAAAGTAAAATATTTCTGATTGATTTTTTTATTCATTTTTTATGTTAGATTTAATGTTAGTTTTTATATTAACATTATAATATTATTAGTTGATAATAAGTAAAGGCTCATTTAATTTATTTCTCAATTAAATCTTTTTATAATTTACTGCCAACAAAGCTGCAGGCAATTATTACAGTTAATAGTTCTGAGAAAGTATTAAAGAGAGCTAAAAAAAAAACAGTAAATAATGAGGAAAACACAAAGATAGGGCTATTGATTTTATGCTCAAAAGATAAAAGTTTTTTGAGCATAAAGCAAATAAAAAAAATTTTAGCATGAAGAAACAGTTAAAATATAAGTGTGCAAGTTTGACAAATGCATTTTACTTTAATATATTTACAATGCATTTTTCTTCTCTAAAAAAAAACAAATGGTAAAAACAGTAAAAATTAGTAGAGCTATCCTAAATATGACAACAATATTCCTTAGAATACTAGGTCACTATGACAACAATATTCCTTAGAATACTAGGTCACTATGACAACAATATTCCTTAGAAGACTAGGTCAGAAAATTGTAGAGGTAAAAAGGCAATAAAGAAAATAGCAACAACAATAAACAGAAACAACTTCAGCAGTTGATATCTTTTTAATGGATTGGATATATGGTTTTATTAAAAATTTAGTAGTGAAAAATAATCAAAAAAATACATAAATTGTAACACTCATTAGGAGTGTTACAATTCAAAATATCAACATTATGATATATATGAAAACGAAGTTATAAAGTGATAATAATTATAAAGTGATAATAATTAGCAAAATTAAACAACTGGTTGTTTATTTAAATTGTTTATTTAAAGTTTGTTTAACTTATTTTATTTTTATTATTTATTAAATTAAATTATATATACTTATAGAATTACTTAAAAATTTCCTTTCATTTTTTTTGTATAAAAATTGTGAATTTTTGTATAAAAATTGTGAAAAAATGTGAAACCTGTGCAATCCTTTTATGCAAAATTAAATTTTTATTAGTCGGGTTCTAAGCTTTTAGATGAAACCACACCCCACCCACCTTGGAAACAGACCCGACAAGCCCAATTTTAAATCTACAAAAACTAGATTTTTTTGGACTTTTTAGATCACAGTATATGAATTCAGTATAAACATATACAAATTTACATCTTGCATCTTAATTTCTATACTAAAAAAACAAAAATAAGTAAAAATAAATAAATACATTCATGGCTCTTTCATCTGCCAATCTATAGAAATCAGAAGTAGGCATTATTCTTTTTTTCTTTTCCAAAAAACTGGTATTTGAATTACTTATTTTTTGATCATGAACCATTTCTTTTACGCCTGAATACTTTAACAATGACAGGTTACAACTAGGTTTTTTTCCACAGGAACTGTTTTGATAACTAAATATTTTACTTTGAAACTTTTTATTATCTACTTTTGTAGATAAAGAAATTTGTGGTATTGAATGATCACATCCAACTTTTGATAATCCAAAACCCATTTTAACTAAATCAAAAAAAAATAATAATAATAATAAAATACAAATATATACAATTGATATACAATCAATATGATTTAAATTTCTATATACATAAATTTATACATACATACATACATACATACATACATACATACATACATACATACATACATACATACATACATACATACATACATACATACATACATACATACATCCTAGGGTGACCTTTAAAAATCATTTTTTGAATTTTGTCAACTCGACAAAATTATTATTCTTTATTATTGCCAAAGTTTGAGCACAATATTAGCATGTTAACCTGTGCCACTGGGTGCTCAAAGTTAAACTAAAAACCGGTTTTTAGGGTTAAGTAGCAACACTTTAGGGTTGTATATCTGGAAATACCATTCTTTTCTTATGACATATGCTACAAAGACAATAATATTGTAACTAATTATTATTCGATATATATTAATATTTATTGCTAGTTTTTGTTAAACCAAGCTCTAAGAGATTAGACTCCAAAATCTAATGTCACTGGCTACAAAAGGTTCACTGTCATGAACTGAAACCTAAATTTAAATAAAAATCATACCATTTTTATTTATATTTAGGTTTAAGGAAACCTTTATTTTCTTTCTTTTTCTTTTGTTATTTTTATGTTTAGCTTCCTATAGCATAGTTGTTGCAATATATATTTAGATTAGAAGCAAAACCAAAGATAAAGTTTTCATTTGTAGACTATCAGGCTAACCAGATAGCTAGTTATAAATTGTCTTCTAGTTGTCAAGGTTTGTCTCTTTTGTACTACAATTTCCATTCTACAAGGTTAACTACAAGAATTTCAGCTAGAGTCACCATATAAAAAGTTCTTCTTTTTTGGGGGAAAAGCTTGTATCCCTACAAAACATGAGAAAACTACTATTATTAAATTAGAGAAAATTCAAGCAGAATGGAGAAATATACAAAAGGACAAGAATAAGCAGCCAAAACATGCTAAAAACAAAATCAAAGAGTTTGCCTTAGAGATATTTTTGATATTGCCCATCAAGATGCGTTTTGAAACAAAAGGAGAGGGATCAACCAGGCTCTATGCTTGGAGTTGATCTAAAGTTAGCTTGAGTTGAAGAAAGAAAACTACAAAATGAACCATTAAATGGAATGTTTATTTGACATAAGTAAAATTAATTTATTTTAACTTGAATATTGATCTTTTGCTAGGCATGTTTGCAATTTTTATTGCTGCTCTAAGAAAAACACAATCAAAAAAAGATAACCAGCCTAAATATTTTTATAATTAATTTGGTCTAAAAAAAAAGATTAAGGGTAGTGTTTGGGAAATTTTAACCATGAAACTATCTTTACTGTTGGATTAGTGTAAGGTATTTGACAGAAATGCCATATGTATACTTATGGCTACCTTAGAAGCACTAGCAGAGAAAAAATGTAAAGTATTCAAAGAAAAACATAATGAGGAGATCTTGGATTGACTTTATATAACAGAGAAGAATGCTGTTGTAGTTAGTTGGGATGGAAAACTTTTACCCAACCTTCCAAAGACAGTGCAGATAGAATCTCGGTTTTAATTACTTATGGAGAAAATAGTTCACAAATAACGAAAGCTATATCCTGATGATTCTAAAAGCACTTGAAGAAAATCTTTAGATTAGATTATTTATTGTTGCATCTATCTTGAAGATAGCAATCAATACAAACTCCCTTTTTTTAATTAAAACACATTGTAATATGTTATAAAAAAAAAACGCATTTTCATTTTATTTTATCATAGATAATTTCATACTCTGAAAATTACTACAAAACTCTTATTACATTATTTCCTTTGAAATGAAAAAGCTTGTTATAGTTTGCTTTAACTATAAGTAATAACAAATATAGAATATATTAGAGTAATATTGAAATGATACAACATAATATTATTGCCTATGATTCAAGACATACATAAGAAAATAATGAAAAGTTTAAGAGATATAGCCCAAAGGCTTTGTTAAAACACCAAAAAAAACTTTTTTTTTCAAATTTTAAGGACCAAGTGACATAGGTTAACATACTCAAACCATGCTTACACTTAAACTGTTTTAAAATCTATAAAGACTGATCATTTTGTGGTGTTTTCGTTGAAAAAATTCTGAAAATAATTTTCTCCCCATATCACAAAGGTCACTCTAATAAACAGGCTCCCAACCAGTGGTCCAAGGGCCCCTGGGGATTAATAATTACTTGTTAAACAGACTACAAGGTAAACGTAAATTCTAAATACTTTTTTCATTAGTAAATTTTAACTTTGATGTTTTTTTCTGCTTAAAGAAACAAATTAAATCTTAAAAAAGTAATTTATGCAAGAAAACTATGTTACACAAAATATATGATAACTGATTTGACATTTACTGTTAAGGACTTGGGAACCACTACAAAGTAACAAATGATATATAATAACCTTTTATTTATAAATTTTAAATGCTATATTAAACTATCTATGCTAAAAATATTTTTCCTAACTGATTTGTTTGAAAGAAAGTAATTTGTGTTATTTTTTGTGAAAATTCAATATTATACTACTCTTATCTTAAATGAATATTTAAATTATAGATGCTTTTTATATTATTTTTAAATACTTTAGATGTCTAAAAGTAAAAAAAGGTCATAAATAAATATATGAGATATGGTTTTACCTACATCCTTAAAGAAACCATTAGCTACCCACAGTGTGTTATTTGTTATAAAAAACTAGGAAACGACTCTATGAAATCCCCAAAGTTAGCTATTTACTTGAATAAGTGCCATCCTGATCTTTGAACAAAATATACTGATTTTTTTAAAAGAAAATTTTAATCACTGAAGAGATGCAAGTTGGATAAAACTGGGATTATTCCTAAAACTCAACAGGGTATAGCAGAAGCATCTTATGAGGTTTTATATATAATAAATTAGAACAAAAAAGCTCACACGTTGGCTGAAGAAGTTATACTTCTATGAAGATATGATTAGATTATTATTTGGAAAAGAAGCTGTAAAGAAGATAGATAATATATCTTTATATACATTTTCTTTCCTTGTATATTTCTTCTTTCCTTGAAACAACAACAAAAGCAGCTGATATTATAAAAATTTTAAAACAATTTTTCTATGAAAATCAATTAAAATGGAAATATCTTTTTTAAATTACTACTGATGGAGCTCCTGCCATGATGTGTTGTAAGCCTAATTGACTAGAATGAAAAAGATTGTTCCAAATGTAGTTAATGTACACTGTTTTATTCATAGACAGGTTTTGGCAACCAAAACTTTACCAGGAAGTTTGTGATCAATTAGTCAAATTGGTCAACTCCTGCTCTTAACACTCAACTTATTATAAATATTTTGCTATGGTCTAAATGCTGAACACAATAAATTATTGTTTTATTCTTCACTGCAATGGCTATCTGCTGGAAATTTTTTGGAAAGATTTTTTATTCAATATTATTCTATACTCATATATACTTTTTGAAAAACTTTATCACTTATCCCATTAGATTTTAAAATCCCTTTTACAAAAAATAACAAATGTAGGAAGCCAAAATATAAAAATAAATAGTTAAAAGTTAAAAAAATAAGTAGTTATATAAAATAAAAGTTAAAAGAAAAAGTAATTAAAAATAAAATTGAAATTTACTATTAAAAAAGTTTCTGTGATGGCTTTTTTCTCCATTTACAAGTTTATTTTATAAAAAATTAAATAAAATTTTTTACAAAACATCCAAAGATTTATAGGGTGAGTGAGGCATCGTAAAACATGAGGCACCATGATGCAATGTAATTGTAAAGCCATCTAAAAAGTGGTGACAACCACTTTGATATGGTACAACAGTTACTACTGGGGCTATGTTTGACTAAAAAGTTGTATTATTTGATATCATTAAACCTGCAAGCTTAAAAATGATGTGATAGAATTTTTATGTCAAATGAAAAGTGGACTGGTAGAACACTTTGAATCTAATAATTTTGAAATAACAACTGCTTATTTTGTGGATATTGTGGGTCATTTTAACAAGTTAAACTTGCAGCGGGCAAAAATGCTAATGTCATTACACACTCAGATAAACTGAAATCATTTATTGATAAGCTCCAACTGTGTAAAGCTAGAATTAATAATGGAAATATGATCATGTTTCAAAATTTAAATAGTGTAATTGGAAATAACTTCCTAAGGTTACAAAGACAAAAATAGTCACCTAGATAATTTGATTAATAAGTTGGGTAACTGTTTTCTAGATGTGAACCTTTTGACCAGTGAAGTTATTACATCACCATTTTCTTGTGATGTGAAAGAGGAAGAAAAGGAAGAACTTAAAGAGTTAAATAATGATACCACAGCTAAGGATCACTTCAAAACAACACCATTAATTAACTTCTGGTTGAAAATGAAGAATATATATCCATTATGTTTATCAATTCCATTTAAAGACCTTATTCTTTTTTCAACATCAGTTGTAAAGTTAGGTTTTCAGCCATGCTATCTCCTAAAACTAAAAAAAGAAATAGACCATACTAATGCATATTAGAAGTGTTCTATTCAAAACTAAACCAAATTTTCAGATATTAATTGCTGGTAGGCAGTGCCAAAATTCACATTGACTTGTTTTATATCATATTGAGCAGCCGTAGCGCAGTGGTAGCGCACTTGCCTCAGAAACATAAGATCCGTGGTTCAAACCCCACCTCTGGACAAGTTTTGCGACATCGGTTGGGAAGGAGACGTGAACTTCCAATTCAATGCTCTTCCGCGGTGCTCTGTGATAAGACCGTAAGGACTTCTTGGGGCACCTTAATCAACTTGAAAAAAATATATATATATTAGTAAAGATAAAAAATTCTTGTTCTATTAATAGTCTAGTCTATTCAAAAATACCTTGAATAAAATATCCTTATAATTAAAAATTACATATTTAAAATGTTCAACTTGTAATAATTTTTAAAAGCAAAGGGGTCTATGAAGATTTTATGATAAATAATTTAGGCAATGGGTTAGAAAAGATTAAGATCTATGTATGTATGTATGCATGTATGTATATATGTATGTACGTATGTATGTATGTATGTATGTATGTATGTATGTATGTATGTATGTATGTATGTATGTATGTATGTATGTATGTATGCATGCATGCATGTATGTATGTATGTATGTATGTATGTATGTATGTATGTATGTATGTATGTATGTATGTATGTATGTATGTATGTATGTATGTATGTATGTATGTATGTATGTATGTATGTATGTATGTATGTATGTATGTATGTATGTATGTATGTATGTATGTATGTATGCATGTATGCATGTATGCATGTATGCATGTATGTATGTATGTATATTGGGAGTATGCATTGAAAATGAGGATTTTGTATAAAGACTCATAGTTTGGCAGGTATATATTTGATCGGGCTAAAACTCTAGGCTGCAAACATCAGTCCAATTTCAACTGCCAGAGTGTAAATACATTTTTATCCAAAATTTGAATTATGGCTGAATTTATACCTACAATACTTTTTTAGCAGGGAATTCTTTTACATTACTTCCACCGAAAAACAATGACAGCTGAGGTGCATAGAATAACAGTGGAAACTCACAACAACAATACTCTTTCAGAAAAAATATGCAGAAAATGGTTTCAACAATTTAGGACTGGTGATTTTGATCTCAAAGATGAAAAACATCCTAGTGCTGAGAAAAACTTTGAAGATACAGAATTCGAGGCTTTACTTGATGAAGAACCATGCCAGACACAGGAAGAGCTTAAGGAAACATTGGGAGTCAATTGATCAACAGTTTCTAAGCACTAGAAACAACTGCTTCTATAACTCTTCTACAGGTTGTGGTCTGGACAACGTATCTGTTGTAGTCTTAAAAAAGTGTTCTCTAGAGCTGTCATCTATACTTTCAAAACTATTTAACAAGTGCCTTCAGAGTCTTGTTTTCCAGACTGCTGGAAAGCGGCATTTGTTATTTCTATTTTCAAAAACTCTGGAGAGCAATCTGATTCATATAACTACTGCCCTATTAGTATTCTTCCTATCATAAGCAAGGTTTTTGAATCTTTAATTAACAAACACTTAATCTCTCATTTTGAATCTAATAACTTACTCTCTGATCATCAATATGGATTTCAATCTTCTCTTTCTACAGCTGATTTGCTAACAGTAATAACCCATAGGTTTTATTGTGCATCAGATAGATAAATAATATAGATAAATCAGATAGATAGATAGATAAGGCTATTGCTCATGACATTTTTATAGCTTTTGATAAAGTTTGGCATATTGGTCTTCTTCATAAGCTTTTTTCTTACGGTGTATCTGATAACATCTTTAAGATTATTGAATCCTTCCTTTCCAATCGTAGTATAAAAGTTGTCCTCAATGGACAGCACACTTCTTCATTTCCTGTAACTTCAGGGGTTCCTCAAAGTTCTATCCTTGGCCCTATACTCTTTTTAATTTACATTAAGGATCTTCCAGATATTTTCACATCTAAGGTTACATTGTTCGCTGATGATACTACTATTTATTCTTGTCTTAATAAGAAACCAATACTCTCTGATCACTAAAAAGAGGGCATTTGACCTTAAAAAGGATCTCACTTCTGTTACATCATGGGGCTCACAATAGCTGGTGAACTTTAATTCAGATATAACCCAATTCATTCATCCAATCATTGTCCTGGGTTTGCATAAACATTTATTTTAATTCAAAATTTATTTTTACATTTTGTATATATATGCATGTATAGGGGAGGTAGGGGAGCATTGGGCACTTTTTTACATAAACGCTAATAAATCTGTTATTTTTTATCATAATCAAAATTTTATTGCAAATATATCTAGCACACATATTTGGCATTAATTATTGCTAAGAAGAGTTTTAGTATTATAATTAGTTGCAAAGTTACAAAACACGTGTCCAAAGTGCCCAAACCTCCCCGTGGTTGGGAGGTTTGGGCACCCCTATGGGGAGGTTTGGGCACTGTATTTAATATGAACAATATTGTTTTACTATACTCATATGCTTAAGTGTTATATAGCATTGCTATAAAAAATTGTAACACAAACATTTTTTCATATCATAGACTTTACAAAAGATTAAACAATGTTACTTGGAATCAACACTCCACAATGTTGGACCTAATAAGACTTATCTTAAATTTGGTATGACCCAAAGAGGCTTGTCAAATTTATATTTTAAGCTGCCACGTTTTATCCATGTTGATGGTGTAGGCAATTTTGTTTTTATATCCTCCAGGGGGACACTGGCTACGTCCTCGATGTCAGGAAACATAAACGTATTTCTTATCTTACTCGCTCTCATGAATTTGACAGTTGCCATGGAGTGATTAACCTCTTTGACAATTCCAACATAATGATAAACAGTTTTTTTGGTGTCAAATTTAACCAACACAAAGTTATTAACCTGGAAATTTCTATCCAGAACAATCACATCGTCTACATCAAAATCTTCTTTTGATGAATCGATTTCAACAAAGGCTTTGTCAGAATCAGAAACATTTTTTATTTCATCATCACTACTAATCTTCCTGTTTTTCTCATTTTTAGAGCATTTTCGATTTTTGTTGAGCTCTTTGATCTTATTTTTTCTTTGTTTTTTTTTTTCTTTAATTTCTATAAGTCTTTTCTTGGGTGTGTCTGTCAATATTCTAGTTTTTCCTTTCTTCCGTTTCATGCCACCCAATTTCCTGGGGCCGGCTTTCGGATATGGTCTTACTAAATCAGGTGTTACATTGACAGTGCCACTAGTCTGGCTTTTAGATAGAGATTTAAGTTGAGATGGCCCAGTGACTTCCACATTTGAACTAGTACGATCTTCTAGTCTCAGATTTTCTTCTGTTGAAGGCTGTTCCATGATAGGTTGGTCTGAAATCGATTTTTCTGTAGCAACATTATTCTCTCCCGGCAAGTAGGGATCAGTTATAGAAGAACAAACGAAATCTTCATCAGAGAAAATGTTTGAATTGAATGGCCAAATGCCAGATTTTTCAAATCCCGTTTGAATATTTTGCAACTTGAATGCAAGTGGGATGGCCTTTGCTGCTAATTTTGGGATTTCATAAATCGTTACCGTTTTGCCAGGATTGCTCACCATCCAATCTGTTACAGCAGTGTTATAATAAGTTTTGAGTGGTCCATAAACAGTCAGGTCTAGGGGTTGCAGTTTATGGCTGCAGTGCGGTGGGAAAGTTATTAAAACAATGCCTGATTCTATACAAAAATCGAGAACTGGTACAGAAATATGGCTCTCGTGGTTGTCCAGCAGCAATAGAACTGGTGATGAAGGCGTTGGTTTTGCGTTTTTTTTTAAAATGGTGTATATATTTTAAAAAACTTGATGCTGTCATCCACCCTGAAGAATGTGCTGCTCCATTTGAACCAACAGGTGCATCATTTAACATATATGTTTTGAAAATAACTTGTGGGAATATGAACAAGGGTGGTATTGAGTTACCCAATGCATTAATGCCGCAGCAAACAGTTACAAGTGTCCCTCTTTCAGCTGACGTTACTTGCCCAACTTGCTTAGTGCCTCTGAGAGCAATCACTTTCTGGGTTCGTTGTACTGTTGATAATCCAGTTTCGTCTATATTGTAAATAGACTCAGGGCAAAAACAATGTCGTTCATATACAGTTTTAAGATTTTCAAAAAAATCTCCAACATTTTTCTTATTGAAACTTGTGGCACGTGAGAGACTAGTAGCTTCTGGGGTCCTTATCGAAAGCTGAGGTTGTCTTTTAAAAAATCCCCTTAGCCAATCTTTCGATGCAAGTGTCTTCTCTGTCCAGTTGTCTGGTATTTTTTTATTAATGGCAGTGGCATATTCGTATACTAATTCGCGTGCTTTCAGTTTTGACATTCCATGGTTAAGTTTAAACAATGTTACAAAATATTCTGAAATTTTTTCTTCTTTATCTTTTGTGAATATTTGGGATGATATATATTTACAAGAAGTATCTTTCACAGCGCCACCCTGTTTTATGTATCTTTGAAGGTTAGACCTGGGTATATCATATTTAATTGCAGTAGTTTTAATTTTTCCTCCTTTAGAAACCAATGCACGCAAAATAACATCTTTAGGGATTTCACGTCGTTTATTTTTCTTTTAAAATAAAAACGGCATTGTCCTGAAAAGAAATGATTAACCATTCAATCCAATAGTCATAGCAAGAAAACACAAACATATGACAAAAAAACACACTAAAAAAAGAGGGAGCATTGAGCATGCCCAAACCTCCCTCCTACCTGCGTGCCCAATGCTCCCCATAACCTCACTTTTTAAACAGATTTGAATAAGTTTATTTTTATCAAATGTTGAATCCTAATTGTCAGGTAAATATAATGTTCATTAAACACAAAAGAAGAAGTTAACACAGATACTTACAATTTCTTGCAGATTTCTTTGTTATCTTTCTTCAAATCATAAACAAAATATTTACTTTTGAACGCAACAAACTGTTAAGCGCATGTAACTTGACAACCAAGTGAAACGACAGCTGACACTTTTGATGAAAAGTGTTGCCAATTATAAAACTATAATGCTATGGTAAAAAACAAAAAATATCTAGAAAAGATGAGGGGGTGCCCAAACCTCCCAACTGCCCAATGCTCCCCTACCTCCCCTAAACATCATTATGATCAAAATGATCATCATAATCATCACTACCATCATGATAATTATGATCTTTATCATTATCATCATCATCATCATCATTTTATGCTGTTTCTCTAATATTAACAATGAAAAGCTTTTTCTTTCCTTAACTAAAGCTCACTCATAAAATATATAAGACATTCTCTTCTTATTTTTTCAAGAATAAAAGCTTGGAAGTTTTTATTCCGACCCTTCAATTTAAAGTAAGCCTTATTCAACTCCACATTTTTCACCATCTTGAGCAGTTTTATTAAACTGTAATCATTTTTTCATCTTTTTAACAAGAACATTGCAAGAAGCCAATATAAAAAGATCCTGTCCAATGTTAAGCTCTGTTATTTTCAGTTTACTAAATCTTGTATCTAATTTCAAATGTTAGGTTCTAGAGACTTTTGAAAAGTCTTCATCAGTTTTATTAACTAATGTAAGTTTAACATTTAGTCTCTTATTTATGGGTCTGATTTTTATACTTCTTCCTAGAATAGGGTAATAGGGTAGAGTTATTTGAAAAAACCTTTTCCTCTAACTTGACTATTGAATCTAATAGCCATTTTTCCTGTCATACCAGTTAAACAGGTTAACCCATTGTTAAACATCTAAATCACAATGGCTTCCGATGTTAAAGTTAATTTTCAATCATAGATTTAAAAAGTCTTCTGGAGAAGAAAAATTTTTTAAGACTATGATTTCCATCATAGTCTTAAAAGTGTTCTCCAGAATTCTTTTCAATTTTTGCTAAACTATTAAAATGCGCTAAATAAGTGGTTTCAATTTTTAAAAACTCTAGAAAACAATATGATCTCTCTAACTATCCTGCAATTAATCTTCACTCTGTAAGTAATTTCTTTATATAAAGTTTTTGTATTAAAGTTACTCTTGAAGGTCTACACTCTTCTTCATTTTGAGTAACTTTAAAGGTACCACAAAGTTCTATCTTTGCTTCTGTATTGTTTTTTATTTAAAATAACAACCTTTATGAAAATTTTACATCTAAAGTAGCTCTATTTGCTGATAACTCTAAAAAAAAATATTTTATACTTTTGTCTTAACAAAAAGTCTTCATTTTTTGGTTGCTTAGAACAAGCAGACAAAGACTAAAAGCACAAGGCTGAGAAGGCCACTACAGATGAGGAGGCTACTTATTTGTGGTTATATAACTCTCTCTCAACTCTATAACTCCGAAACACGAACCTTGACGAACAAAGCTGCTGCGCGGAGAAACGAGTTGAGCGCAGTACTACCAGGGACGTGGCAGGGATTGAACTCTGAACCTCTCGCTTATGAAGCGAACGCTCTACCACTACACCACTACCGCATACATCTACTTAATTTGCCAAGCTTGAGCCACTCTCCCATTGTTGCAAGGTTGCATTTCATTCTTTTTCTACAAACACTATCATGGTCAATGTTCAAACAAGCTATCATCTTTATTACAATAAACCAAAACTCATTCTTGCTTGGCTTCTTATTCAACAAGTTGCATTCTTTTACTGTATCTATCCATTCATGCTATAAAAACTTTTATTAATCCAGTTTTTTTCCTTGCACATCAAAAAAAATTTGTAACTCACACTCATGTTTTCCGTTTTTATAAAACCTACAACTTTTCAAGTCTTCAGTTAACCGTTTCTTAGCTTTTTAACCCTATTTAAAGTAACTTATAACTTAATAGTGGTTGCTTGAAAAATTTTTGGAAGTAAATTAGAGTTTAAAAATATATAAATATAATAGTATTTAACAAATAGTAAGTATAAATAGTAAGTATAAAACTGTAATATATGAAGTATTCCTAATTTTTTTCTAGCCTCAGCTATCAACCCCTTCTAAATCTCATAACTTTGCCAGGACTGGGTTTGCAAAAAGTCTCATTTTTAGCTGAAACCAGCGCAAGGGTCGGGACCCCTCTCACTTACTAGCAAGCAGCTGCTTGCGTGACAAAAAAAGATTTTCTTCATCAAATTATTACAGGTGATGAAAGATGGATAGTTTACAACAACTCTAAATGCCGAAAAGTAGGGTCAAACCTGGCGATTTATAAACATGGATAGTGAAACTAAATATTTATGGTTCCAAGCTCATGTTCTGCATCTTGTGGGACCAGCCAACCATGGTATGTACATCTATTAAGAGTATTGTGCAAGATAACAAAAAATGTATTGGTAAAGTCAAAATCTTTAATAATTGGATGTGTGATTATCAAGTGATATTAAAAAACAAACTTATATGCCAAAGTAAACAACCACTTCTTCTTAAATCAAGAGTACACATAAAATGTTGACATAGCTGGTGATTTTTCGAGAGCTAAGTATTGTTCTCAGAAAAATCTTGATCTACAGACCAAAATACAGAAAATCTCCAATAAAGATAAATAATGACTTAAAACATTCATAGAAGAACCATAATAAATGCTAGGTACTTTAACCATAATAATATTTGTAGTGCAGGCATGATCTTTGGTAACTGATACATTATCTATTAAAGGCAATATTATAGTATTTAAATCTTAACAGCATCTGGTGTTATTGTGATCTAGATAATGCATATTACAACTGTTCTCATTCAGGATAAATGGATTCCATCCAATATAATAAATGGTTTAAAAAAATGATATATACCAAAATAAACTAGTTGATAAAAAATGATATACCAAAATAAACTAGTAGACACAACTCTGAAAACTGTTATCAATTTTGCTGTTACAAACAACATTAGTAGCAGCCAAGTTGACAGTTAATTATTTACTTTGTTTAATTGCCCTTCCTAAAACTTTTAATAGCTTTTTGAAAGTTTAAGGGAGGATTTTTTTCTAATCAGGTGAAATTTAAAACCCTCTCATTTTGGGGAGGGTGGAAATCTTATATGGTCATAACTTTTGAACATTAAAAATTTATTAAATGAAATCGGATGAATTTAAATTTGTTATATGATAAAAAACTTAATGTATCAATTAATTTTTCTTACTTTCAGTTTAGGCGAGCCAACTTTTTGAAATATTTTTGTTCTCGTACTACAATCATCACCTTTTTTTGCAAAACATTCTTAATTGACATAAAAAATGAACATCATTAAGTTTAGAGTTTGCACAATGCCTAATAGTACATAGAACTTCAAAAAATCCTGTCTATGCCACTGCATATATATATATATATATATATATATATATATATATATATATATATATATATATATATATATATATATATATACATATAAATATATATACATATATATATATATACATATATATATATATATATATATTATATATATATATATATATATATATATATATATATATATATATATATATATATATATATATATATATATATATATATATATATATATATATATATATATATATATATATATATATATATATATATATATATATATATATATATATATACCTAAGTGTATGAGAATATCTTATATCCAAGTGGTATAAATATATTCTTGTTTGATTAATTAAGGCTTACACGTTATCTTATCACTTTTCTTTACTCCTTTTGAACTTCCTATATTTTTAAATAAACTTTAGTCTCAAAAACAAATAATATAAATGTACATAATAAGGTTTTAATGGAGCTACAATACCAGTTAACTCAATGCAAAATTCTATTAAAATTTTTATTTAAATTACTTTAAATTTAAACTTGAAAATGAAATGAAAGTTTTTTTGTTTTAATAACTCTAAGTTGTTTATTAAAAAATTAACAAATAATTTTTTTATTTTAATTACTCTAAATTTATTCGAAATTATTTATTAATATTATTAATAATAAATTAATTTATTAATAATAAATTAACAAATAAATTTAATTATTTATAAAGTAATTAAATTGCTCTAAATTTTATTTTTATCAATCTAAATTTATTTATTTTTTTCTCTTTACTCCTAAAATATGATTGCTTTTAAAAGTTTATATATTTTTTTGTAATTCAACTTTCAAAAATTTATTTAATTTTTGTATAACAAAATATAGCATTCAATAAGTTTTTTTTTTACCTCATTTAACATTAGCATAATATTGCAACCATGGTTGCTAAGCATAAAACCAATATTGACACCGACCCAAATGGGACGCTAAAAATATCTCAAGTATTAGTTATTTTTTTTATCAAATAAACACTACCACTATCTCGTTACTTGTCAACTGGTTTAAGTTTAGCGAGTAAATTTTAATTCAAAGATAAACTTTTGACATCGTCACGCATAGAGTTTACTACTATTGCATCAAACGTATACAAAAATTACAATAACAAAGTAAATAAATGTCTTTAAAATGAGTAAACAAATAAAAGACTTAATTATAAAAACTGTAAAAATTAAAGAATAATCTGATGTTCGAAGTCATTATCAAAATTAAAATACGTAAAGTTTTCTACTAGAACATTTCCATTTCTCTGCGTGATTTTTTATTTTTCTTGTTTTTACAATTTGAGGCTAAGACTCAAATTGCAGGCCCTCAAATTCCCTTTACTCCTCAAAACTCCTTTACTCCTCAAAATTTGCGGCCCTCAAATTGTGTTGTGCCAACAGTCCGTGTTGTTCTAGATCGGGCCCTGCACACACCCACTCCCCCACAACACACCCAGCTTTCGTGCCCGCCTTGATACGATTTGTAGAGATATATTATTTCACTTAAAATACTCGCAACCAATTTAGTATTAAAAAAATAACTACGTGAACTCGAAAAATATGCAACTTCCGTGCTTGACTTCCGTGTGTGACCATGCATGAACTGCACTTAAACGATTGCTGTGACTCTAGGATACATAGTGCAATCTTGTAACCTTATGGAAATTATTACTAATATATAGAACATTATTTTAAAAAAACCGTACTGCTAAAACTTATGTTTTCCGAGGAAATAAAGTTTACTTATCTAGTAACTAAAACTTGCGTTTTT